GACTTTCAACGAACTGTTTCTTGGTTGTTGAATCTTCCCTAAGGGAGTATCCTTAAGTCCCTGATTTGTTCCTCGGGACAATGACTGAGATGACAAAGAACATCCAGAAAGCAGATACAGGGATTTGGAGGGGGTCTGTCTTTTGTTTTGACTTTCCATCAAGAAGAATATGTCTGCATATGGCATGACTCCTGCCTCTAGAATGCACACAGTTGTGCTAACTATTGTGCCCAGTTTTGCCATGTCTGGCTATTCCACAGGTGGCACCTTCACAAGGTTCCCAATCATAAAAATGAGATGCTACTCAGTCTCTGTGGCCAGAGGAAATGACATTCTAACAAAAAGTCGACTTTTAAATCAGAGAAGTAACATTTCACTTGAGGAAGTATCATTTTTCACTTCAGAGTAGATTGTGTGTGTGTGTGTGTGTGTGTGTGTGTGTGTGAGAGAGAGAGAGAGAGAGAGAGAGAGAGAGAGAGAGAGAAAGAGAGAGAGAGAATGCTTTCCAGGAGAGGGAGTAGAATGAGATGTGAGCTAAGAGTAAAACTTTAGAAGTGGAGAACAGAAATGCTTAGTTTAGACAGCGGAACCAACAGGGGACAGAGGGACTGCAGGGTCATTGCCCAATTCCCTGAGGTTCTGGCATGGCAGGATCCTGCCACCTCTGTCTCTCAGTCCCTCATTGTTACCTTCTTCCCTCTTCATTTGTGCAAGCGGCTCTCACTACATATCACAGGAGGCCTGAGTCTCCTGATCCTCTTGCCTAGTCTTCCTGAGTGCTGGGATTACAAATGTGCCACAGCTCTAGCCTCCTAGCCTCCCTCTTCCTAAGGGACATAGACACACTGCTGTGGAACCATTAAGATTTACAAACACCAAGAATCTGAAAAATTCTTGCCAGGACTAGAGGCAGAGTAAATAAAATACATTTGTAAAGCTGAAGAAAGCGACACAACATTTGCAAGTTAACTGATTTATGATCTAAGAACACAATAGTTTCATAGGTGGCTAGCAAAGATGGTGGAGAGGCAGGTTCTAATCCTGAAGGCCGAGGCCATCTTCTGGTCAGACTGACTGGTTTCAATGTAACTTGAAGCTTCACTGGACCAGGTGAATGACAAGGGAAATAAGGAAAAAAGTAATTAAGATTCAATTTTCCATTCCATGGCCTGATGGGCTGAGCATTGGGGTGAAAAATGTCTTCTAAGATGCCATTACCTTCACCCACTGGGGTATGAAGGTGGCCCAGTGGAGTGTTCCCATTTCATAGGTGCTTAAATTAAAATGCACATTTTATTTTGTGATCCTGGGAAATTTGGAAGTTGAAGTAGGATTAGATTCCAATGTCTTTTGATCCCAGCCTGGATCTCATTAAGTTAATAAACAAATGTCAGCAAAAGACTGCATTCAAAATATTCATATAAATGCAGATAAATACAATGCAATAAAAATAGCAGAGGTATTTAAATATGTATAAGGCCTATAAAGTGAACCTCCCAAGACCATGTTCACAAGCAACAAAGGACCTAGAAACACAGAAATCATCCATTATCATTTTTTTCTGCCTGTAAGTACTTCATAAATCTATTGAAATAAGCATATTGAGAGGAGAAAAAAATCCCATTACCAACGCCTGTACTGAGTCTTGCCAAATGCATCATCTAATATTGCATGTCGCACTACAGCCTAATTCAACTTGCAGCAATGTGTTTCAAAACAGTTGAGGAGTGAGCATTCAATTTCAGCTTGTTAGATTCTAATGGATTCCTGTGAATGATTATAAATAGAGCAACCCACAGCAGGGGATTTTTTTTTCTTTCTTCTTTTAAACTTATGGAGAGAAAATGATTACATCTTATTCACGAAGTATTGAGAATGTGAGTCTTCGCTGCCAGTGAAACATTCTTTGTCTGATGGATGTCAGAGTCACTTCCTAGACCTTATTGTATCTTAGACCATTTTAGGATAAGAACACTGATGAGGTGTCCTTGGACAAATGAAGTTTTCAAATGGTAAAGAACAGAAAATGTGAAAGATCATAATAGTTCATTTCATTGTGAACCATATCAGAAAGACTAAGAATACAGTACATAAACTATAAAGCAAGACTAATCAGCATGGGATCTTTGTTTCCTAGTTTCTGAGCTAGAAACTGCATTGATTAACTGTACTGTTCGAAATTTCCAGCACAAGCTGGAAAACCCCGACGTCCCTATTTACGCCAACCCCATCCACACGGAAAATTTAAACAAAGGAATGGAATCAAAAGCCCAATTTCACATTTCTAGCAGCCAGTCCAAACCACCTTCTTGATATGACCAGCCCACCCAAGTGCCCGCCCAGCTGCTGTGACTTTGGCCATGCTTGGCAGTCCCAGCTCCTGGCTGGCACACCATCACCCCTCACCTAAGATCTACACCCCCTCCAACCCCTTGCCTTAGCTCCAGGGAGCTACTTCTCTGGCTTTGTTTATCCTCTGGGTCCAGTTAACCCACTCCAGAGTTGCTTTGTTCTCAACAGCAATGTTGTTATACTTGTAGTTTGGCTTGATGCAGCTTACTGTGTCAGTGGCGAAACAACTATCTGAATAAAAACATCAGTAACATCTATGTCCTACTTCATGCTGCTGTGCAGGATGGCAAGAATTTTCCATTCTTTCTTTTCCATTCCTCCTTTCCTCTTCTTCTTCCTTCCCTCTTCTGTCTGGGCCTCTATCCCAAACACAGCATAATATAATAACAACATAATAAAATATGACTACAGGCTGAGAATGTAGCTCATTTTGGTAGAGTGCTTGCTTAACATGGATGAAGCCCTGGGTTTGATCCCAAGCTCCACCACTGATGGACCTACGTATGGAGGTATGTGCCTGTAACCCCCGCACCCAGGAAGTGGAGGCAGGAGGATCTGAAATACAATTCAAGTCACTCTCATCCTGGGCTACATGAAACTGTCTCAAAAAATAAACTTCAAACGTCCAGTTAAGTCAATCATTTCATTTTACTGTGTGTCTTCCTGAGTCTTCTTTGTCCAGATGCAATTATCTTTTCACTCTTTCTCATGAACCAGATTTCTTAATTCCTTGTAAGTTATCCTTTTAGAGCCAGGACAAAAAAAATCATATGTTTATTACTTATTTTAATGTTTTCATTTTGACGTCAAGATCTTAAACTATGCTTATTCTAACTGTAACGAAGTCCAGTGAATTGTACACTTTGATCTGGTTAGTTTTAGTGTGTAAGCCTTTTGTTTATTTGTAAGTTTTTTACACAATAAAGTTTATAAGATTAAGATAGGTCTTAAACTGTGCAATTTACTTTTGTGTAATATGCAGTGTAAGAGTCCATTTGAATGTTTTTCTTATAAAGAATAAGTATTTCCTGTAATTTGGCTGAGAAGTCCCTTTTTCCTCACCATCATCCGCCATGCTATCTCTGCTCTACATCTACATTCCACTTCTCAGTGCCTCTCCTTCAATGCACCCCCTCTGAACACTGCTTTTTCACCCTTTGTTTTGGGGGCACTGAGTTTAATCATAGGTATCAATTATTAGAATAGTTAATGAAAGAAAATGGAGGATATTCCATTGGCCAATGATGAAAGCCTATGATGAATTAAAGATTATAATTAATCTAACTGCAGGCATGAGGTTCACCAAGGAGATAAAATGATAAGTAGTATTACAAAGACCTGTAGTGTATGAACTCTTTTTTTCTCTCTCATTTCCCGAGGACAAACTTCCAGGGACGCAATGATGGAGCCAGCGAGTACAGACGATTTTTAAGGTTTTACATGCAGCTTAAATGCTTTTCAATGCATGTGCTCTTTGTGCCAGAGAGTCCAGCAGTGAAGTTTGATTTTGGACCTGAGGCCAGCCAGGTCCTCATTTCTTTCTGTTCTATCTTCCATGCCACCTCCTCTATGACATGCTCTTTGTCTTCTGCCACTAAGAGGCAGCATTCCTTTAGGCTGTTAGTATCTACTAAGGTGGCCTCTGCAGTTAGTTCCAAGGTATAGTGGTGCCTTTACATTGCCTTTGGCTCTCTCTCCTATTTAAAACAAATATAATATTTAATTTATTCTTTGAGATTTTATTCATGTATTCAGCATACTTTGTTTATATCCCTCCCCGCATATTCATCCTATCTGTCTGCCACTATCTATCATCATCTATCTATCTTTCTATCTTTCTTCCTATCTATCTATCTATCTATCTATCTATCTATCTATCTATCTATCTATCTTCTTTCTCTCTGCATCTCTTTCTTGGTAACTCACTGAGTCTAATTAGTGCTGCTCATATATGCATGACTGTGGGACCACCCTCTGGAACATGGTCAACTTATCAGTGACCATACCCTTAAGGAAAACTAAGTTTCTCTCCCCTAACAACCATGAACTGTCAATGGTGGAAGTTCATTCTCTTTTACTCTTTATTATTGATACATAGATCCTGGCTAGTTCACACTTTATATGCATGCATTCAGAACTTTCCTTGACATCTTCATTGTGTTTGGGTCTATCTATCACCTTCCTTCTTTCCCCTTCCCCCTCCTTTTTCCCAAAAGGCTGAATATCCTCAAGAACTACCCATGTAGCAGAAGATGACCTTGAAGTAGCTGTGTCCTTCCTCTTCCACTCCCCAAATGCTGGAATTACAGGTGTGTACCATTATGTCTATTTCAGAATCCTCACTTTTAACACATTTTCCAGGTATCATAGCAGCCCTTGCTGCCTGCCCTTGACCCTTCCTATGTCTGTGTATTGAGTTTATTTTCTTTTATCATTAGTTACCATGTTTCTGTCTCACTTCACAGCAAATTTGGAACTTAGATCTTGTCCATATATGTATTCTAATCACCTATAACAGTTCTTTAAACATAGTTGATGCTTTATAAGATTTCAAGAATATAATTATGAACACAGGACATAGTAGTTGCTCAATACAGGTGCTGGGTGAATGAATGGAAGACACAGAGGGACCCATGGTTATACGCAACAATTTTTGACATCTGTCCCACCAGATGTCTGGGAATAGTTGAAGTTTTTAGTGTTTGTGCTGGAATTACTGCCTGCAAGAGAAATTTATTTTCAGAATCCAACATTTTTTCTTATAAAACTGTAATATAATTTTATTTTGATGCACTGTTTTTAATCTGTGAGACTTTGGGACATGTGAAATGTCCTTCCTACTCAGATGTTCTTATAAGGATTCAGGCATTGTGCTGGCCTGCCCCCATCACTCAGACAGTAGCCTGGTCAGCATGCAGATGCAAAGGATCTTTTAAAAGAAAGACCTCTGCCCACTTACACTCTCTTTCCCACTGTTATCCTGGGGCAGACAGGACTTTTCCTGTCTTCCCTCTTCTGTCCTCTCTGTGTCTCTGCATCTCTTAACCTCTTTTCCTTTCCCCCTCTCTTCCATTTCTAATAAAACTTCTCTCTTAAGCTCTGTTTGCCTGACATATTTGTCCCCTTCCTCAGTCACCCTTGCTGCTATGGAATCCGCCAAGGTTCTCCACATGCATTATCCTTAACAGTTCTGAGGTTGATATTCTGTGTTTCATGTTTAATGCCAACTTGTTATTGATGTATTTCCTTTTTCTGTCCTTTTAACTGGGTTACTTTAGTATTACCTTAAAATGCCTTGACAAATGAAAGGTCTATTGTAATGCATGCCATCAACCTTTACTGTTAAGATTATAGTGATCACTACATCCAGATGTAGTCAATACAGGGTAACTCAAAAATCTATTGAAAAATATAAACTTTTAGATACAGCAGTAAGATGTGTGAGTTGTTGAGTATGAAGTACAGGAGGAGAGGCCTTACCTTGAGGAGCTGCATCTGGTATTGTCACATCCCCATCTACCCCCATCTACAATGGTCATTGAAGATATAGCTGGAGATCCTGTTTTTAAAACAAAATTTCCAAATTGCTATAAACATTTATAGTCACATGTTTAATGATGACACTGAACAAGAGAGTCTTGGAAGGAATCTAAATAGACACATAGTATAATAGCTTCATTTCAAACATGGAAAACATGGCTACACAGCAAATATCCATATAATTCCTTTGCTCCTAAATTCAAATCTATTATATTCACTCTCCAAAACATATATCGATTCAATATTTACCTTGTACCTAACACTATTCTAGGTGCAAGGGTTGCAGCAATAAGTTAAATCAAGGTTTCTGTCTTCATGAAATTTACCTTACAGTGAGTTATTATAAGGGTTAAACATTTTCACATGCTAACTATGGTTTCATATTTATTTTGATTCTTGGCTTACAATGAATTTTCATAAGAATATATTTTCACATGCTATGAGACTTCTGTATATTTCAATTTTCAGCTTACAAAGTCATCTCCATCTTTGCAACATATCCTTTTCTTCCTTTTTGTCTCCCCTATCACAAATGAAAATGTGCTTCATGTTCACTTGAAATGTGAATGCTCCTCCAGAGAGGAGGAAAGACAGATGAAGGAAGAGAAAATCCAACCACACTGTTGAACCATGCCTGCATCTCCTCGAGAGATGTGCTTTTACTATATTTTGGTTGTCTGTATTTCTCCCTTGTTCCCAAACATACCTAAGGTGTCTTACATAAAATTTCAGCAAAAGAAATAAGACAGTAAATAAAAAGAGGAAATAAGGACAGAGGAAATAGAAAAAATTGAATTCTGTTGAGACTGGAATGGGATTTTACATAATATGCATCACTTGGTATTTTGATCCCTTATCAGATAGAGCCCCACATTAGGCCTGAATTTTCTAAGACAAATGTTAGAAAAGAAACAATGTATATTATTTGATTGATGTGTATTAAAAGAAAAAGTAAATTAGTTTTGGAGAGTTATTCTTTCTATCATAATTGAGAAAAAGATTTTCCAAGTTCTCGTAAGATGAATGCTGTGGAAGTTGTACAATGTCCTTAATAGCATGCTTGCAGTATGATAGCACTGTATTGTGTTTCCTCACACTGCTGTGAGTAGAGAAGGGTATCCCAGTTTTCTGAGTGCCTTGGTTATAGAAAAATTCTTTTAACGTCTGAGCCATCTCTCTAGCCCTGGAAAAAAAATTCTTAATTGGAGAACACAGACAATGAAATTTTGAAAAATAAGTGTATGGTAAATAAATTTTTGCATGGTTTACAAATGCTTCACACACAGAGATATTCTCAGCAAATATTTCTGCAATGCTGCCTGCTAGTGAAATTCAAAGAGATGCGATGTCATATACCCTTCCATTTAAACTGTCACCAACAGGGGAACATTTAGGAGATGCTTTGTGCTGCTTGGAAATTTAAATAGGTATCAATATCAGCAAAAGAAGACCTGAGATAGGGAAGACCTCTGGTCAGTCATGTGTACTAATGCTAATGTTTCTGAACTCATTCAGAGCACAGCATCCATTCACAGGCAAAACTATGGTATTTGTTAAGGCTTGGACCACATGATCCCCAGGAAACAAAAGAACCATCGAAACCTGGCCTTTATCTGCAGGGAACACATGGTAGTCTCAGGTTTATTGATCTTCTGCTGTGTTTTGTTGTCATTCTTGGTCTGTACAACTTTTCATAGGTTATTAAAAGAATGAATCATTTACTATGGACCCGTATTAAACACAGAGGGGTAGAGTTGGATCCATTTGGTAAAATAACTGGTTTCTAAATTAATTCAATCCACTTGCCTTCCTGGTGGTTTAACACCATGGCTTCGGAGTGAGGTCCTTTCACATGCCAGGACCACATCTTAACAGATAGTCATCCCTCCGCAGGCACTCTTTGGTCAACAAATGTTTGAGAGCTTGTATTCCTTAGGCACTGAACTTGAAATTTCAAATATTCCTCCTCTGCAGCCTCCATTCAAGGAGCAGACACAGAGAATTAGGGGAGACATGGAGGAGATAGATAATTACATAGGGAATCCAAATATGACAACATGTAAACCTATGTGTTCTCAGTCCAGGAATGTCATGGGAGAACTGGATCTGGGAAGGAAAGGTGGAAACTTCCCTATATTCTGTGGCTTAGTTAGCTTATGACACTTCCTTTTCCGTGGTTGGATCTTTACTACTTGGCAGGCATGCATGTTTTTTTTTTTTTTTTCCTCTGTGTGGTTTTGATGTGATTCTGAGATGGTCAATGACATGTCTCTAGTGTCAACAGCAAAAGGAGAATAGAGATCAAACTTAGGCCATTGGTGTCAGCACTGTTTCTTTCTCAAGGCTTTGAGTCTGAAGTGGTTTTTAAAAGGAATCCCATCCTAAAACCTGACCTGGAGATTCTCTAATTGTAAGAGATGGTGTCTGGTAATAGGACTGCTGCATTTGTGAACTCACAGGGGCTGTGCTTGCCTAGATAAGATCAAGGCAGTCACATCAGTGCATGGAGGGCAGAAGGGTTTATAAGCCTTCACCTCTAGCTTATTGAAAAGGGAAAGTCAGTTTTCTTTAAAGGTGTGGCCCTTGGTAGGTTGACCTGGCTTCAGTGGCTGCTAGAACACCTACGAGTGTACAAACTGGAATCAGTTGACTCATATGGAAAAACAGAAAAAGAGGACACAGGGTTGGGAAGGGGTAAGGAGTAAGGAACAACTCTTGGGGGAGTTAAAATGGAAGAGTAAGGGGTAGATATGATCAAAATTCATTTATTATGTAATTATCAAAATTAATTTTAAAGTGTTATATTTCTAAAATATGATCATGTCTGATTGTCACTACACTGAGTAGACAATTTTAAAAGGATTTTATTTGCAGTTTAAAAAATTCATATTCGTTATATTTCTCAGCATGCTAATGGGGCAGTTTACATTGGTCTGTTTAGTTTCAAGGCTAAGACTGACTCACGACACACTAAAACCTCTTGATTTTCAATAATTGATTTTATATTATGACACACTCTATAGGCAGCTCAGGTGATAGTTGATTGCTGTTTCCTGAGTGTTTATTTTTTCTTCAGTGTAAGACTTCCTGTTATTATATTTGCAAGTGTTCAGACATACATCATCATGATTGTTGTTTCCAGGAAAGAAACAAGCAGCCACTTCATTCAATTTGTTTTGTTTATACTAGTTTGGAACCTTCCATGAGGTAAGATGAGGTTTAAAGCCTTATAATCCGTTTCATTTTAACTCTTTAAATACTTCTCACTAAAAAGGAAGGATTACTCTTTTATAGTTTCTATAGACATTCAAGTGGTCTTTGTTGAATGGAGGAGACAGAAGTATGTTCTACAAAAGTTAATTCTGACTTTTACCACATGCCATTATGTCAACTGCTTCTTAGCCTACATCCTTGTTCATTTTCCCACAGACTGACCACCAGCCTTCCACAGAAAGGGTAGATGGGTAAAATGTCAGCGGTCCCACTGTCATGAGCTGTTTTTCTCCTGCCCATCTGGTCCCACAGCCACACCATCCCCAAACAACACACAGACACCCTGTATTAGATATAGAGCTGTTGGCCAGTTACTAATTTCTTATTTGCTGGATCTGTCTTAAATATTAACCCATTTCTATTAATCTAAGTATTTCCACGTGGTCTTTTCTTACTGGAGAGAGGGGCTGGCATTCTCTCTCCATCCTCCATCTTGAATCTCTTCCCTACTACTTCCTCTCTCCTCCTAGTCTCCTAGTCCCACATATCTTGCTTTCCTATTGGCCAACAGTGCTTTATTCATTAACCAATAAGAGAAACATATTTACAGAATGATATCTCCCATCATCTCCTCTTTTCTGTCTAAAATAAAAAGAAGGGTTTTAACCTTAGCATAGCAAAATATATCACACAACAGTTATCAAATAAGAATCACAGTTAAAAATATTTAGTACATGAATGTTTAGTAAGATTTAAAGAAAATATCCCTTCATCTATCCTATCTTTGTGAGGCTAAAGTCCTATATGTAACTTACCTTTAATCCCAATTAAGGAAAACTATAACCTTAAATATCTGTCTTCAATTCCATCAAAGACCACAGAAGGGTAATATATAAACTCTAGAAATGACAGAGGCATCTTACTACCTGGTCAGTCCCATAGTTAAGAACTTTCTGAAAATTCTTTAATACACCTGCCCAAGTGTTCATGAGGTGATGGTGAACAGTTTAATTTTTCATATCCTGAGCTGCCTGTATTAGATTAGAGCTAGCCTGTTAAAGGAAGCCCACGGTTACATGCTTCTCTCTTCTTCCTACCCCATGTCCTCTAAAGGAGGGGGCTAAGCCATAAAAAAAGTTTGAAGGAAAGTTTGGGGTCAGACTAGGGCATTGCAAAGCTACTTTGTTGTCTTCACCCCACACAGACATAAAGCACAGAGCCAGTACACATCAGCCCTCTGCAGCTAAGGTGGAGCCATGTTTGCAGTGGGGAGAGAAGAGAACTTCTGGACTAATTTAACTTTTTCAAGTTTTGAAACTACATTTGACAAGACTTTTAAATTATTGACACACGTCTGTTCTAGTGACTGAAAAAGACCAGACGACATCTATTATATGAAAATTACCACCTCAAAGGCTAAGTAATTTGTCTGAAATTTTTTTCCCAGAGGCTAAGAAACAATTCAACAGACTCATCTGAACAGAGAATGATTGAGGAAATATTTTTTTTTTTTTTGCTACCCAGTCCATCTTATGTAATCAACCAAGTACAAGAATAAAAGTGATTTGCAAGTTCAGTCAGAACAATGTGGTTAGTCAGGCTGACTTATTCAAGGTTTTGCTTATATTCTTGTGATATTGCCTGGAAATTAAATTATTTTTCATATCACATTGCTTCACTCAGCTTTCTACTCCATCACTATAGCATCTACTGGATGTACTTGGACCAATCTGCTTTGTTTTCTGCACATAGTTGGAGTTACTCTCCATTAGCTCCCCTGCAGCACAAAAAACCTTTCAAGGCAGTGGTGAGATGGGGAATCTGAGCCATAGTGTCACATTCAAATGAGCCTTATCAGTCCCAGTGGTCAGACTCAGGTGGAGACTGACCTTCAGGCTAGCGAAAGGAGTCACTTGCAGAGATGACCTAAAAACATCACAAAACTCTTGTCACAAAGGAGGCTGCTTGTCTAACATGTTAAATGAAGAGGTAAGAGGACCATATACCACTAGATTATTTGTCTGAAAAGGGTTCAAGGCCAACTCAATGATGACAACAGAAAGCAAGGCAGAGTTCCCCACATACTTGATATAGTCGTAAACATGGTAATTGTTAATGACCTTAAAATTGATCATCCAGGGCTGACAAGACTGTTCAGCAGGTAAAAGTGCCTACTATAAGATGATTTTGGAAGACGTAAAGCATGGAAAGGTGTTCTTTCCTCTTATTTATTTCCATTGTGAGGAGTTGTGAGTTCCATTTCTGGAGACAGAATTTCATAGAAACCACTGGTCCACCAAAGAGAAAGATTAATACAGATATTCTGTGTGAGTAGCATCACCAAAAACTTCAAATGAGCAGAGATTTATCCAGTATAAAGGCATTTATTGAGTCGAAGCCTGTACTGACAGGAGCAGTAGTTTGGTTATCTAGGCTCCTGTCTGGCTCATCAACCTTCTGTATGACCTTGCTTGTGCTATTTAATCTCTTTGTGACTCAGTATTCTTTCCTGTGAAGTGGGTTTTAATAATACTTCAACTTTGTGCTATTGGCAGAAAGAAATGAGGCAATGTATTTAGTTTAGGATAATCCTAGATACACTGGAAGAACTCAACAAATATCAGTGTCACTGTTCAGCTATTTGACACAGCCATGTCAGTGGGAAAAAAAATGGTTTGATAATTGCTAGGAGAAACCTGGGAGGCACTGTGTGACAGTATTCTAAAAACCTTGCTTTCTTCCCGTATTTAATCAGGCAATGCTGGTGAGCCTTCTGTCATGGGACTCTCCATTTCTACAAATGCCTTGTTGAGACTGTCATCGACATAGGTCATTTTAAATCACCATCACCCAGTCTTCTGGCTGCCTGCCACTACTCACAGATCTTCCTCTTCCTCACACACTAAGAAACCACAGTGACTGCTGGCATGCAGATCAGTCTAAATCCACAGCCTACTGGTCTACCTCATCATTCCCTGGCCTCACCTCATCTGGCTCCCTAGCACTTCTCTCCCCAACAGTACTTATTATGTCCCCTGCTTCTCTTCTCATGGATAGGTCCAACTTATTTACAACTGTGCTTAAGATGAAAATTTTAGTTTAGGGATCTGGTATAATTTTTCAACAAGTAATAAACTTTTTAAATAATAAAGTTTTAAAAATTTAGAAAGGATAATAATTTGAAGACCCATCTTGTATCTTTATTCCAGTTGAGCCCATCCTTCCTTCCAGACTCTGCATGTGGACATCCCCAGCCCTATTTGCATGCTCAGCATGGCTTGCTGAGTATTGCTGTCATCCTTGGTTGTGGTGGTGATAGTCATGGTGCTGGAGAGATGCAACCCAGGGATCTGCATATGTCCATCAAGCACTCTACCTCTAAGCCCCACTCTAACTCTCTCTGCTTTGTCCCTTACCTATATCTATATATGGATGATGATGGCAGAAACTGATGCCATCACACCCAAGTCACCAACATCTTTACCTCCTTTCAACTCTCTCTGGGACTCTCTTGCTTTAGAACCCAGTGTCCTGACCTGCTGATGTTTTCTGTGCTGCTTCCTTCCAAAACTACCCAATAATTTATCTCTCAAATCTGTTTTCCATCCACTTCTGACAGACATATTTATGTGTAAATCTCTAGTTTTGCTGTACCCCCTCTGCCTTTTGTCTCCTATGCATAATCATCAACTTTTTTTCAGACCAGCTGTTACCACATGAACAGGCCAAGGTCTGGACTCAGAGGAGATGTGACATTATTCTCAAGGTGTTGAGAGTAGGAAATAAGACTGTGAGAACCAGATAAGTTACTGATGAGGGATCAATATCAAAACCAATGTCATTGAGTCAGAAGGTCTGGCATAGACATCAAAACAGGAGGCAGAACCAATGGGTCTGTGGTCTTGTGAGCAGAGAGATGAGAATTAAGACTTTCCCCAAATTATACACTTGTTTTTAATGAATAGAATAAAGCAGAGTGACCTGTGGTGTGGAAGAGAATGTCATTAAAATGGTACTTTTCTGGAGCCATTACTCTTGAAGTACTTTGTCAAGGGGAAGGTGGCAGCCATATTGGATGCAGTCCTACTGAGAGGCTCACTCAGTGGGCACTGAGGCATCTGTTTTGAGAACATGCTTGAGTTTGGATGTACATGCTTTTACTCCAGCCAATCTTTCAGATGACTGAAACGTAGGACAACTCAACCTCACTGCACTAAAATCCCTTAGTATTACTCAGCTAATCTGCAGATTCTAGGATACTGAATCCATTTGAGGTATTTTATACTTTACTAAATATCAAAGTAATTTTTCACATAGCAATGTACAAACAATACTTAAGGCACTGTATTGGTTTAAGATCTTACTATTGTTATTGAATATGCTGAGGTTTTCTGGGTAAAAATGTTCCAGTCTGTTGTAATTTATTGGTGAAACCATGGTCTTTGAAAGTGCTAACTTAAAAAAAAAAAAAAAAAAAAAAAAAGGAGGGTGGGGACAAAGAGGAAAAGGAAGATGAGCAGGAGAGGAGCAGTGTTTAAACAGTGTTATGAAACACTAATGGGGATTTGCAGGCATTTCTCTCCTGCCATCTACTTCTCACTTTCTGTCACTGTATGTGACAGTGACTGTAGGCAAAATGCAAAAGGCTACCAGCTAAAGCAAGCATTCATTCCAGTGGACTGCTTTTATTTTATTCCATTTTCAGCTCTCGTTTTTAGGCAAAATTGATAGTTTTAATTAAATGTGAAATTAAAGCCACACTTCTACTCTATATATACTTGAGGATTTGGTTTTATTTATTTTTTATTTATTATTTATTTTTGGTAATCGGTTCCCATGGATCTCTATAATGTACAAAGGCATGGACATCAGGATTATGATTTGTTTGAATCAATGCCAACTTCTGAGATGCCCCACGATGAATGACTTCACCATAGCAACACTGACCAACAGTTAATGATGCCATGGGTGGGAGTGCTGACTTCACAGCCATCCTGGTGAATTAGTTTGAGGCCAGAGAAATTTTAACGTAAAATGCTCTAGCTATTTTAGGACCACAGTTTCCCCATTTGCAACCACATTTTTTAAAAAACTTCCCAGTGAGAATATGACTATGGAGGACTGTCAATTTAATAACTATTTAATAATGAATACAGAATTCAAATTCCTCACTGAATATATATCAACTTCAATTTTCCCATGGCTTTAACTTGTATCTCTTGGAAACTATGAGATCAATACTTTTGTTTATTTCAAATGTCATAGCAAGGAAGGACACAAATCATGCAAGTTGCTACTTTTAACCACCCTATTAGTTAAATGATTAGTAAGTTATGTAAATTAAAAATAATGTGGTAACACTCTTACTTTAGGAGATACACTGTCATCTGGAAAAGGTTGTGTGCCTAGGGTAGATCCTGTCACACTAGCTGGATACTCCATTGAGACATTCACCGAATCTGAAAGTGTAAGGCAGGTATTTATAATGAATAAAATATTATAAGAAAAAGATATTAATTCAGTTCTAAACTTACTTTATTTATTCATTATCTAGCAAATCAGTATTCAGGGCTTGCTATGGACCAGGCAGTGAGATATCGAGTGAGAGGAGCAGGTGTGGAGCTGTCTTTAAATTTTCTTTAAACACTTAAATAATTTATTTATCCTCTCTCTCTCTCTCTCTCTCTCTCTCTCTCTCTCTCTCTCTCTCTCTCTCCTTCTCCCTCTCCCCCCCTCTCTCTCTGTGTGTGCGTGTGTGTGTGTAAATAGAATCTAAGGTGTGTTGTTTTACACTCATTTGTCTTCTTTCAGCTACCATTATGTGCTTTGCAAATAGCTCTCTGTATATGGGAGTTGTGGCTGCATTTATGTCTGTGAACCAGGCAGCCACTCTCCCCTGCCCCTTCCCCTCATGGCCAGGGGAGGGTATAGGATCAAACCCAGGTCCTCTGGAAGACTAGCATATCTTAACCACTGAGCCATCTCTACTGCCCCTGAAGGGTTTTCTTTCTTTTCTTTTCTTTTTTAAATTACAAGTATAAGGAAGATTGCTTGATTTTAGAGAAATATAGATTAAATGTGGTTAGTTAATTTTTGAGCCTGGAGGATTTTGTATTTTTTAGATATAATATCACTGTTTAGGAGAGTCATACTGTATACACCTTGTATAATTAGTCTGACGTCTTCAAATGACATCATAATTGATACTTTGACATGCTCCCCTACTTTATGTCATGGTGTTGACCATCACTTTTCTGTCTCTCGTGAACCACACATTCTATACAAAAGGCAGGTGTTTCAGCCCAAGGATAGTTCACTCAGGAAGACTTCTTAGTCTTTGTGCTGTTTCCTGACCTTTTCTCATTTGAACCTTTTTAAAATTGGGAAGTCCCAGGGGACTTTGATGATATGCCTCTTTCCCTTGATGTTAGTGCTAGGAAGGATCTTGTCACTTTTATTCATGGGTCATGCCACTCCAAAGAAGAACCAGTTTTGTTTCTCACTGTATTTGCAGATATTGACAAATGGAAATGATGTAATCATACAAAATTGCCAGAAAGACCAACCTTAAATGTCTACCTGGCTGCTCTTAGGTAGTAAGGGTCCGCTTCTAAAACAGTAGGCTGTAAAGCGGAAGTGTGGGGCTGTAAGGTAAATGATTACATGGTTTTCTCTGTGGAATGATTTTACACAGGTTGTAATCCAGTGCACACTGGCAAATCCTACCCATTCCTATGCTCATCAATTAAGTATTTTTGGATATAATCGTATTAATCTCCTTACAGGCTATCCATAGCAGCCTTTGTGCTGTAGTTACAGTGTTGAGTAATTATGGCAAAGGTAATATTATCTATAAAACTTAAAATATTTACTCTCTCACCCTTTATAGATGAAGTGCCAATTCCTGAAACTGAAGGTATATTATTAATTATGTTCTGTCCCAGATTTCTACAGTGTAAGGCATTCCCTTTTCACAGATGGACATTTTGTTTTAGAACAGTATTCTGCTGTTATTTCATAAACAGATATCTTTAGAAGTTGGGGGAGGGGTGTACCCCATGTCCAGATCCACATAGATTTCAGCACAAAATCTAAGCTCATAAACCATCTGTCTGGCTTCAGAGTGTATTGAAAAGTAGAAACATTTCTTTGGTCAAAATAAAAATCAGGGCTGTTAAAAAGACATGGCGCCAGCATGGCAGGGATAAGAGGTTTCCCGGCACCCAGGGGTAGGACCCAGTAAAGTTGCCTTATGCACATTTAAGGTCAGGTCATTTGCTGCAGTGTTGAAAGGGATGGGCTTCCAGACCTTAGTACCTCCATCCTTTCTGGAGTCTCCTTTCTGAAGTCACTCTACTGTAGGATAGGAATCTTCTCAGAACCACAGCAGCAGCTGTGAGTCTGGCCCACAAGAACAGCTGTGTCAGTCCTGAGGTTTCCTGTGAACTAGTATCCATCCTTATCTGGTCCACCTAAGAAATGAGCCAAATCCCAGGGCATGTAAGATTCTTTCCTCTTAGAGCAGAGTCCACAGAGCAGTGGGAAAGGTTTCTCTCAGGGTCTTGTTAGAAATGTAGGACTTAGCTCCAGACTTACTGAATTGGAATCTATATTTTAACAAGGTCTCTGGGTGATTGGTGTGCATATTAAATTCTCTATTTATGCTTTCAGGATCCCTGGGACCAGACGCAAGTATGAATCTTGGATTATTGCAGGAAGTCATGAGGCAAGAAGTATTTGTCTAGAACTTCTATTAAATGCTTAGCTTCCCTCTTCTCTCAGCTAAAGGGATAGATATCCTTTTGGCTTTCTCCATACCCTCCAAACAATATATGAGCACACTTAAGCATGTAAAAACACATTTGTGTATGAATGGGACTAGAAAGGGAGTTATAATTGGGGAAACAGATTTTTGGAAACTCCAAGATTTATTAGCTTTAATATCTGACTATAATGACTAAAAGTTCATTTGGTGATTAAAAGCTCATAGTCTAAACTTACACAAGAAGAGGAGCTTCCCTGTAAAATTTGGAATCCAGTGTGTTTGCAGTATGAACATCAGCATTCCTTTTTGCTTTGAAAGTTTCATTATTTTCTGATCTTGAAACAAAGCATGGGTTTAATATCAGAATACATTGGTTTTGGGAACACATGGGAACAGTGTTCTGTTCAAGAACTGAAGACTTTAGAGTCTTTTAGCTCATGACTCCAGAGTGTGCCAAAGCATTGACAAATCTATATGAGACATGATAAAGTCCATACTGTTCCAAGACTGCAGCCCTCCCATCATGTCCCCTCTAGGAAAGGGCTGGGCTCATTCTTCAGGGGGTTGACTGAAGTTGAGTAAGGCTGTTTTTGTATAAGTTCATAGCAGCTTCTGAATGAGGACTCTGAATTCACAGGTAAAGTCATGAGAGATACTGCCTTTGACTCAGCATGGAATGGTGCCTGCTTCTGAGTAGTGGGAAAGGTTTTGTGCTAAGATATATAGTCCTTCACCTAAAGACACACTAACCAAGCATTGTACCTGTAAGGACTCTGCCAGGGTGCAATGCAAACAGTCCTGTATCAATTAGTATGTTTTTATGGATATGTTATAGACAACCTTTATGAAGATGTGATAATAGTTAAAGTGGGTAATAGTCTTATAGAACTATAATGATGATTCACAAATCTTGTTTTATCTGAGCACTACTAAATATGCACCATTTCAACATAGGCATGTCTGTTGTCACCACATTTGCTGAGGCAGTTGTCATATTTTATATAGTAAAATCTCAATTATTTTTATATGATTCAGGGTAGTAAATTTGATTGTTCAAATTTTGTGGTAACTGGAGTGGCTGAATTGATCAGTTTTTGTAGTCATCAAAATCTTCATGTAGATACTGTGCTTCAAACCAGGGTAGTGAAGTTATTAATGCATGCAAGGTTTACCCATTTCTAAATAGTGGAATTATACAAGCTGGGGATAATTAAATCTTTTCATTTTTCTTTTATTCATTTGAGCATTTATTTATGCACGTGTGCCTGAGTGCGTAAGTCATAGCACACACACCAGGATCAGAGAACACATTTCCAGAGCCTGTCCTCTTCTTTTGCTATGTGGGGTGTGAAGATGGGACTCAGTTGTCAGGGTTGTAGCAAGTGCCTTTACCTGCTGAGTCATTCACAGGCACTAAATATGTTTATGACTCAGGAATTTTAAGACAGTTCAAATTTCAATTAATCATAGGTGCTATTACTAATTTGCTTTGGATGATAAGTCAACCAGAATGCTACTTGATTAAACATTATGATTAGGCTAGGTGTCACGGTGACTAATGACTCTAATTCTAACACATGGGAGGCTGAAGCAAGTAGATTGCCAGGAATTAGAGATCAGGTTATACTAGACACTTAGTTCCAGGTTAGTGCAGGCTACAACCTAAAAAACTTGTCTGGAAAAAAAAAAAGAAAGAAAGAAAAAGAAAATGAAAAAGAGTTACTATCACAATAAAAAAAATTACTCTTAGAAAATCTTTATAGAAAAATTACCTTTGATTTTTATTTGGAGAAAGTGGTTTTAGATTCTACTTATGAACTATTTAATATTTTGAAATTTAGCAATTTGGGTTTACGTGGAGAATTTTCTGGTATAGTACTGGCATGGGAATAAAAAAAAAATCCTATCTTTTCCTTAGTCATGTTCTGAGTTGGTGACACTCTTGGATAACCCTTATTGACTTTGCTCCTCAGGCAACTCACCCAAGGATAGTGTGATGGCTTGTGATGAAGTATTCCACATTTTATTTCTGGGGTCTGGGGACAGAGCCTTACACTGAATTGTCACGTTGTTTGATTGGGCTGGTCTATTGCCATGTATCCTTGTTAAAACTGACTTCAGTTCCCGAAATCCATTTCTGTCATTTTCCTCATCATTCATAATGTATATTCCTACAAGACAGATGAAAACATAATTAGGCCCTGACATTTTCTCTACCAGACAGACAAGGATGCCAAGACATGGCAAAATAAAATTCGAGTTTACTTTGTTTTGACATGAGGGTCTCCCTTTGTTGCCCAGACTGGCCTTTCTCTCATGTCTCTAGTCATCTTCCCACCCCATGTGTGGAGAGAAACTACAGACTCACCACATGACTAATTTATAGTAATGTAGACTATCAAGCAGTTAGCATTTAACTTCTGAGAAGCAAGGCCAGTTCCAGCAAAGCTGGCATTAACCTGGGGCAATTGTTCCAGTTCCCGGGTGGCACTGATCCATAATAGGGCTATAATATGCATTCTTTACATGTTTTGCTTCTGACTGTGGATCCAAGAGCTCCGGTAGATTATTCCAACTTATCAGCACCATTTAGTCATGGACAACTTGCTGATTTGTACTTGAATTGGCTTGAACTCTGGGGAGGCTCATCTGTAGTCTCTGGTCATGTAGTGAAATTTTACCCCAAATGTATCAACAGAATATAACCACCCCCCCATTCTGCTTTGAGCTTTCCTAATTTGAGAAAGTGCATCTGGGTGTGGCCCTTGCTGACTGAATGCAGTGGGTGTTGAGTGGATTGAACCTCCTCCTTACTATAAGTGGAGTAGATGATGTATATTCTAATTCTGATACCATATCATATCCTTTCCCTAAAATAAGCTGTATATTGATATCCATTTTCGGTTCTGATCACATGAGGGTTCTTTAGAATCTTTTAACTGTCACTGTTAGGATAATGTCCAAATTACATGCATTGTAATAATTAATTACTAAAAACCCATCTGTCCCCACAGGCCACATCATTCTGAACTCTCACAGTCTTGACATTTAAGGTTCTTTGTTCTTTTGAGACAGGGTCTGATGTATTATTTCTGTCTGGCCTCAAACTCATTATGTAACCAAGCATGACCTTGAACTCTTAATCCCCTTCTTCGGACTCCCAAGTATAAAGATTGCAGGTCTGTGCCAACATGCCTGGCTCCCATGAAAGGCTATTCCTGCTAATTCCAGAGTTAGTATTTAGTGAACTATTAGCTAAATGCAATTGTATGCTGGTGGAATTCTAATCACACCATCTGGCCTCTTATGTGTGAACATAACGGGCCTGTCCTATCTGGATGCTTTACTGAACAGTGTTTACTTAACAGTGAAATATACTTATCATAACCTTTAACATACTCTTTCAGGATTGTGTTGTGTTGTGGTTGGAGCGAAGTGCTTTTAAAGTGAACTCATTAACCAGTAAATGATCATCAAGGGATCTATAAAATCACCTACCAGTAGAACTTATTAATTTTAGAAATTAAAAGAGATATTTGAACATAGCTTTGTGACTCAGCTATTGTTCAGTGTGTTGCAACAAAGAGTCAGTGGAAGGCCTGCGGTCCAGGCATAGATGCCTGGTCTTATTCTGGTGCTGCTGCCATGGTTACCACCTATGAAATCTACTACTTTGTACTGAAATGGTCTCTGTGTGTATTCTTGCCCCAAGAGCTTAATCCTCCCAGTAAACTTGTTCCTTGTGAAGAAACCCTATATATCCAACGCTACTGCCACACCCCCAAGTTCTGACCCGATATATTTACAAGAGAAAGTGGAAATTATTATCAGTTGATTTAAAGCAGTGGTGTCAAGAAAACTGAACATAATATATTAAAATAACAGGGCAGAACAGATAGTAATGCTACAAAATCATAGCTCTTATTATTAACTACATGTTTATTTGAATGTTTTTCTCCTCATACAGGATATTTGCTTTTATAAACAACAATTAAATTGTATGTATTGTCTGAAGAAATCAAGTGTATCACTTTTATTCCTGGAAGTGTTGCCTTCTACCCTGTTGGAGGAATTAGATAAAGTATCAGAAAGTGACACCTATTAGGTAAGATGATGGGCTTCTTAGAGCAAGAATTATTTTTCAATGACAAGATCAACCTGGGCACCAAGGCTTTCCAATGCTTGGCATTGCTGAGCCCATTCCCATAGCTTTGTTTCTTCACCTTCTTCATTGCCTTGAAGAAAACTTCCATCTATTAACCAGGTGATATTTGCTCTGGGGAAGACACTCTTCAGTAGGCAGGTAAATACTCTCTACAACAGACAGAAAGAGGATTATTCGCAAATTGGGAAGAAATTCTTGCTGTGTTTCCATTCATATGAGTCAACTTAGCAAGAAATGATTTTGCCTACCTTTAACTGTGCACAGGCTACATACCGGGGTTATTGACTCTAGGGGTGTTGGAAAATTTGTGGCCAGGACCCTAGGACAGTTAAGAAGTGAAAGACTATACTAATGTTGCATGAGGTTTATGGGTTCTGAGAAATAGAACTGTTACTAAGCTAGAAATCAAAGAGTAGCAGGGAGGAGCCACAGAGCTGAGAAGAATGTCGTTAGAATAGAAGTGAAGGGGAATGAGACATTATGTTTTATTTCCAAAATAGTGTGAAAGACCATCTCTAGTGATGGTCATAGAAATGATCTTAAGTAAATATCTATCATTTTGGGGGTTTTACATTTTTCAAAATCCTCTGTTTTTCATCTTGGTTCTCTACAGTAGACAGTGCATGCTTCCTTTGGTAGGCAAAAAAAAAAAAAAAAAAAAAAAAAAAAATAGAAAAAGTCAGGGTTTCTCATGGTTAAAGGAATTAGAAGCCATTAATGGGGTTTCAGTCTAACAAATTTCTTGGTAAAACATTTTGGTTTGAAATAAGTACCACCTGGGAGGAATAGTGTACCCAGTACCACTGGGTAGAATAGTGATTTGAATGACAGTGGCCCGTATAGGTTCATATATTTGAATGTTTGGTCTCCATTTGGTGGACTGTTTAGGAGGGATTAGGAGATTGTGGGATGAAGTATGTTGATGGGGGTAGGCTCTGAGGTTTCAAAAGCCCACGCCAGACCTAGTCTTGCTCTTTGTGCTGCCTGTGGATAGGATTTAAGGTCTCAGCCACTGCTCCAGTGGGGCTGTGTTCTGCCACCCTCCCCACCACGTTAGCCATGGACTCATTCTCTGAGCTGTAAATAAGCCCCGAATTAAATAAGTTACATTGTGTTTCTTTGTCCATGGTGTCTCTTCACAGAAATATAACAGTAATGAAGACAGGTAACTATGCTATAAAAACAGAGAAACAGATTCAGGATTAATTAGATCTTATTTTCAGCACCTTTCATTCTTTGGAAAATGCAGATTTTACTCCATAGCATGGTGAACATACCCAAAGATATTTATTACTTCTCATTATCTTATCTGATGCTCTATAAAATTATAGTTCAACTTCTGGCTATTTTCTTACTACCAATGTGTGGATTTTGCATATGCCTGGTCCTGGTCCTTGTTCTTGGTACCTAAATGTTTCCCACAATTGTTGGATCTAATTGTGGTTCAACAGGAAAATGAATGTAGTATTTGTGTACCAGTCTGCAACCAATTACTCTCAAATAAGCCAAACTTATAAAGCTGTGACACCAGATTCAAAGGTACAAGAAACATTGTTTTCTGGCAAAATCCTTCTTATATACAGTTCCTCCAAAGGTTTCACTGTTGTATCTAAGATAGCAGGTGGCAAATACTGTAGCTCTCAGCATTTGTACCCTTTCAACATTTATTTCATTTTCAGACAATGTGGATACATACATCTGATAGGGTGTAGGAAATTACGGGGCTTTTCTCAAATTTTTCCATCTCCCTTTAGCCTCATGGCTTTTACTTTTTTTTATTCTGTACACCTTTCTTTCCTTTTTACTCTGTGGCTGGTTGTGTGGCTGTGTGGCTGGATCCTGGCATTCTCCCCCCTTTCTCATTTTCTCATTCCTTCTTCTTTTTCTCATTCTTCTTCTATTTATTCTCTCTGCCTGGAAGCCCCTTCCTATTTCTTTCTCCTCCCTAGCTATTGGTCATTCGGCTCTTTATTAGATCAATCAGGTGTTTTAGATAGGCAAAGTAACAAAGCTTTACAGAGCTAAACAAATGCAGCACATCTTTGAAAATTAAACAAATTTTCTACATCATAAACAAATGTAACACACTTTAAACTAATATTCCACAACAGGGTTAAATCATCTTACAGCTTGCAGTCCAGATAGTATAAGCCAAGGCAGGAATCTTAAGGTAGGAACTACCTTAAGTCTCTGTCTTCCAATATTTGGTTCAAGAATCTGGGTCTTATTCTAAAATGCCTCTGATCTCTAAGGCTGAAATGTCAGAGGGCATAATAGTATAATCTTAGGTCAAATGCTTCAGTAAGTATCAAGCACATTCATATTATTGCTGAGGAAGTAGTATTGTCTTCATTTAGGACCTGGGTTAAATGAGCAAGAAGAGAATTTTAAATCTGAAATAAAAATGGAGACAAAATATATAGTAGTGTAAGTGCACACAAAGATAATTTTAATGGGCAGGAAAGGCATGGGCCTGAATTGTAGTGGTGGTGTCTGTTGGAAAGTGTCGAGGAATCCAAACCTGGGTAGCTAAGATGGGCTCTTTAGCCAAGAGGAACAAATATAAGTTGAAGATGTTCTCCAGGAATCTGGGAGATGTTGGTAGATGATGAGCTGAGATTGACAAGCCAGAAATAAAAGAATACAGCTCTCACTGTGTATGTGGCTGTATATGTACATATCCATACATATGCTTGCTCATTTTATTTTATTTTTATTTATTTATTTATTTATTTTTTTGTAGCTGGCCTTACAGTTCAAAGGAACTTAGCCCCACCTTCTTCATGCTGCATTTAACTATCTCTTTGTAATTCATTACTAGACTACACCTCCACGGGGCTCTTATTAATCATTCAAAGAGTGTTTGTCTGCAATAGCACAAACTAGTACTGGGCTGAAATTTCCCCAAATTTTCTCCTCACCTTCAAGACTGATGATTTACGACTTTCAAGTTCTACAGGAGCATGGTGGCCTCATGCCTGTATGCAAAACTCGCAGATTGCTAACAACCCCTAGGTTTTGCACTATGAGCTGGTTAGATGTCTTAGACTCATTAGTTCTTTTAAAAGATTTTTAAAAGTTAACAGATTTTAAAAATGGGATGGAACACACCAAATTAAGATGGCCTTTCAGTATGCAGCCTATCACCATCTTTTTGGCTTTGCTGGGTTACCGAATAAATCTTTTTTCTTGCTCCATTATTACTGTCTTTTGTGAGAGGGGAGTCCACAGGCTAAGTAACAATTCTTCACGTAGAAGAATACTAAATTATCCCTGGTTAACACACTTGCATGGGGACAGCATCTTTTTCAATGGATTTTTTGTTTGGGGAATAATTTTGAACACATCAAGGTTTTTAATCTATAAACAAAGAAAGGCAGTGGTCACTGACCAGACTCTTTGTCTATGTGTTTCTGCAACTAACTTTTCCCTTCTGTGTCTCTGTGTCCTCCAGTTACCATGGATCCCAGGAGATAGTTCTGATTGAGAAGCATCTTTGTGAGAAGTGATTGAGGACAGAATAGCCCCCAATGAGGATAATTCCCAAGATGATAGGATGCACCCTATAGCCAGAGTCATCGTCTCCTGGGAACAAAATTATTCCTTTCACTTAACAACAGGGGTGGGGCATTTCCAGACCCCCTTGCATAGGGCTGAGTAAGTCATCAACTGCAGCACACCGTGACCCAAACTACTGCTTTATTCGTGCCCTCGCCTTCTGCTTCAGTTCTCTCTGTGATCAGACTGAGAGCTCATACCAGTACCCTTAAGATGCACTCAGGGTTCTTCCCAATGTGGCTGTGTTGGTTGTATCACTTATCTTTCACCAGTACCCCTCTTTTGGTGTACAGAGATAGGTACACCATCTCTGTTGGGATTCCCAGGGTCGGTGCTTTTGTACCCTAAATCTCCAGTAAAAGAAAAGGAATTAAAAAAATGTTCATCAAGTTTTCAAAAAACAATGCTGAATCTCAGTTGCATCCTTTCTCTACTCACACCACCTGGGTTGGAAATGGAATTTTCAGGCTCTACATAATTTGCACTATAACATTTTATCTTCTATGCTGTAAACCCTTTCCTTCCTGTGGACATTGCCTTTAAAACTGTTTCTGTCCCCTCTGGTATGTTTTGTTTCCCAAATTTGAATACAAATGTGAGTATATATTTTCCATAAGTGGTAATTATCCTTCAGAGAATATAAGCCAAGAGCATTTCAGCTTTCCCAACTCTAGTTACATAATGTAATAAAAGTACTCCAAAATCCATATCTTAATTTTCCATTCTTCTTTGAGTTTTGGGGTTTTTTTTCCACTTAATAGCCTTTTTTCTGTGAATTCTTTGGCTTTTCTTCTGACCACGTTCATAGGAGCCATAGATTTCAGCTAAATATAAAACTTAATTATCTGACACTTGGGAAGGCGCTTGAAATCACAGGGCTCTTTGCATTTGGGGGAGTCTGTACTTCATCCTCCCGACTTTATCTTACAATGTTCTTTATTTGAGAGGCTAAATACCCATGCAGGAGGAAAACCAACTAAGGCACCTACAGGCACTCCATCTACTGTTTAGTTGCATAGCCAGTTCCCACAGGAAGGCAGGGAGCAAGCACTTGAGGATGGAAGTGGCCATCCTGGAGATGAAGTAAAAGGTGAGAGCAGAGAGAGAGTGGGTATGCCTGCAGCCAGACAAGGACCTGCCTGCAGCAGAGCATCCCTTCTGTTCCACCGTGGGCATGCGTTCTGAAAACACCGGCTTTCACAATGTTAGTACTTGTTCAAATATGAAGCAAAGGTAGTATATGAGGTGGGGCTTTAAAGAAAAAATAGATCGTGGGAAACAATCTTTACAGGTATGAACAGAGCAAATGCTTATCTACAGGGTTCCCAGTGTTTGCTCACCCTTGGTTAGAAGTTCAAAATATGCTAATTAGATGAACGGATTACTTGTCATGTCCATGAGTTGTTTCAAGCTAGACTATGTGGATCATCATCTCCAGCACTTAGTTTCAGTGGAGGGGGAGACTTGAAGGGAATGTCTACCTGACCAGCTCACCCTCAGAGGCTCAGAGACTGCAGCAGGTCAGCGTTTTTTGCAAGCACAATCTAAGGTGATGCAAAGGTTATTCTGTGTGATCCAATGATGGAAGAACTAAGAGCCTTCTATATGAGCTGTCTGGACTTTCGCATGAATCTTTCTTCTGGCTGGAACACTTTGTTTTTTATTATTACATCAAAGCTGTTTCATCTATGTAACCTTTCTATATCTTGTGAGATTTTTTGACAATCTAACCAAAATGACTTAATGTATAATTAGGATGGAAAAAAGTAAAATACTTCTCAGCTCACTAGGTTTAAAATTTAAGAATAAGAAAGGTGAGTTGGCAACATGGGTCAGATGTTAAAAGTACCTGTTGGAGAAACATGATGACCTGGGGGCCATGCCTAGAACTCACCATGTAAGGTGCATGCTAACCCCTGAAAGTTGTCCTCTGATCTCCACATGTGTACCATGGTACATGTGTGCCTATACTGACACATACATCATACATACTTCACACACACACACACACACACACACACACACACACACACACACACACTGTAGTTAAAATAAAGACTGTAAGAAATAAAAATACTATAATTGGCTCACAGATATTTAAAATTTTAATCTAGTTCTACATTAAGGTATAAAGGAGAAAGAGTGGGTAAATGCAAGTGAAACTCAGAGAGACAAATAAGGGAAGCAGTATGAGGAGAAATGTAGAGAAGAGAGAAAATTATACAGAAAAAATGCCGGAGAGAAGTACACAAAGGGAAGAAAAGCGGTGATATAAGAAAGTTTAATGATGGATAAAGAAAAAGAGACCATGCTTGCCAGGGCGACCAAAGGAAAGAGACCATTTCCATGGACCTGAAAGGCACAGTTCTTAATGGTTTGCCTTTGTTTCATGTCCAGAGACCAGACACTAATTTGTGAAGGTTTTAGATTATTGCTGCACCTCTAAAATATGAGACTCTAATAGTCCACATAGAGCAAAACTTTTCTGGGTTGCTGAATCTATGTCTAAAATATTAACTTAGAATAAAATCACACTGGATGCGACCATGGCCTCTGTGCCTGGTCTGCCTGTTGTTGAGATGGGTCCTCCAGTGCCTTCTCCTCCTTTCCCCCTTTTAATGAGTTGGTTAATCCTCATAGTCAATTTGGAATGAATCCAAATCTCACAGGAAACATACTTTGGCTGAATGGGCGAGGTGTTTCCAAAGACAAAGAGGGAGGACATCCTAAATGTGGATGACACCAGGTCCAGACTGAATGAAAAGAGAAAAAGGAGCTGGGCTCACATCTGTAATCCCTACACTCTGGCAGTAGAGGCAGGAGGATGGCGAGTTTAAGGGCATCCATAATGGCATAGTGGGGTTGAGGCCAGATTGGCTTATTTGAGACCCAAGAGAGACAGGGAGAGGGACAAACTGAGCCCCAACATTCATCCTTCTCACTGAGTGGCCAATCACATGAAACTCCTGCATTCATGGTTTTCTGAGACACCCTTGTTTGTTTCCTGTGTTTTGTGTTTGGTCATTTGCTTTAGACAGTATGTTTCTATATTCTATTAAAATAATAAAAGAATAGAATGACAAGGAGAGGATCCATGGAAGCTACCAAGTTAAAGCAAAAAGCACAAACATGAAGGAGACAGAGTGGTTTCTGAAAGCTCAAACTGCTCAATAAAATGTGGGGATTCCATGCACCTGTCTTGATTTACTGTATTAGCAGCTGTGGGACTGTTTGACCTGACATCTTTTAGTTTAATGCAAAAATCTACACATGGAGGGATCCTTCGATTAAATTAAATCTACCCTTCTCAGCTGCAGGAGTGAGTCTGAATGCTGTGTGGCAGCCTGGTAAAGTCCTGTCTGCAGAAACACATAAGATCATGATTAGACACAGAATATTATCTGTGGACATTGGTAGTATGTTCAATTCTAAGAGGCATCATCGATAGAATCACGCTGGGTCTTGTTGTTGTGCAGAACAGACACGTTAGTCACAAACTCTGTAGGTTTAACTAATATCACTGGTTCACACAGATCATAGCAGACCGAGTCGCCAGCAAACTCTTCCACTGAGGGCTGTTGAGCTCTGGCCTCCAGTGCATGGCACTGACGTAACTCCTTTCTAGGAATTTAGGGGATGGGGAATTGCCATAGCTGAACATCTGTGGCTAGTAGGTGGCAGGTGCTTTGCAAACAATCTCTCATTTGCTCAGGCCATCACCCTTATGAGGTTGGCATCATTCATAGCCTCCTTCCATGTATAAGAAAGAGAAGGAAGAAAGGATCCAGTTCCTCAAGTTAATGCATTGAGAAGTCAAACCCAGTTCCGCCAGATTCTACAATGTGTCCCAGTTTTCCCTTCCGTCCGTCTCATTTTGTTTCCTGGAACTGATCACAGATACATGCCGGCACAGGCAGAGGAAGGGGTTGGTGAGACAGTGAGACTGATTAGTGAGTAGGGAAAATCATGCCTGAGATATCTACTGTGTGTCTCGGACTCTGGAACTGTGTATACATTTATTTAATTCTCCTAAGAATCTTATGAAATAGTCACTAGTCTAAAGTTTCAGGGATTAGCACTCCGAGGCTCTTGGTGGGTAACCACTTGATGTGGCATTTCACTAGTCACAGTTGGATTGTACTTCCATATGTGTGGTACCTGACCAAGGTGGCCTGTCTTCTCATTGTCCCATCCTCCCTGGGTATATGCTTACATGCACTCCAGACAGTTACTCAGCCAAATGTTCAGCGCTTCCTGGCTTTAATTTCTCATCTATAAAATAACAGATGCTCTATTTGGGAGGATGATTGAATGAAAAAAATTGAAAATATGTTAAGATGCTTAGAAGAGCAATCCTAAGAATATTAGAATGAAGAGCTGAGAATGTTTGGCAACATTTTTAAGCATCTCCAGGCCAGGCATGGTTATGTGGAGGTGGAGACAGAAGAACATTCATTAATTTCTCAAGGAATAATGCCTGTTCCTTTGTTTCTCTAGTCAGCATCCAGGCATGCATGGGTACTGAAGAGAAAATTTTATGGCTTGTGGAATTCAAAGCCAAGTACTCCTTTCTTTTTTATTTCCAGCTGGGATTCTTGGATCCGACGTTATTGTTTTATATCTGCACTGAGATCATCTTAATCAGAAACACTGGCACCAAGAATCTGCAAAAGGTCCTAAGAAGAAGACCATTCCATGGAAAACTGTGTTGTTGGATCATTTGTTTTATTTTAACCACTAAAGTGAATGAAATGCACTGGTAAACTTGGGGATTAGTTGGAACAGAAGATAAATGACTAAATCTGTCTTTATTGTGTTAAGAATTATAATATCAATTAATAGACACATATACTTGGATAATAGATGTCTAGGGCTATCCAGAATCACCCCACAAAATTTGAGCCATAATTTATATGCAGTTGTAGAATTAAATGACTGATATCCAGCAGGGTCAAAATTAATAATATACATGGGGTGGGAAACAGCTAAATATAATTTGCTCATACATGCATGAGAATATTTATTTTACGTGGAGTTTTGGAAAGCTTAGGTGAAGTCACAGGCCACAAGACAGTGAATTAAAAGTGATAATAGTGTTTCAGGGTGTGGCTACACACACCCTTAATCCCAATACGGGACAGAAGCAGTTCAAGGCCAGCTTGGTTTACAAAGTGAGTTCCAGAACAGCAAGGGCTACACAGAGAAAATGTATATCGAAAAACCAAACAAAGCTAAACAAAAAGCAGGAATAGCAAGGATAGTTGCCACAATATTTATCGACTGTTTGAACCACAGCACACAGACTTTTAAGAAGTACTCATACATTGATTTCAGCATTAAAACCACAACAAGCAGATATTATTATTGGATATGACATATAAATGGAGAACTGACTATAGAGATATAAAGTACTTTGTTCTAGGCCACAGCCAGCCGGAAAGTGTGTCCAGGTCCAATGATTAGAGGCTGAGAACTATTCTAAAGGGGGTGAACTCAGAGCATCCTGTTCTACTTTCCCTTTTCTCCTGCCCTTCCTCTTGTTGCCAGGGAAACAGCTGGGTTTGGGAGGAGGGCAGGAGGGCACTATGTCTCTTCTCAAAGCAATGGGAAAGGCAGCTCAAGGGAACAACAAATTAAACATGAGATGAGCAGAATCTTTCTTCTACCAGGATTCACACTGCTTTCTGTCCCACTTTCCCTCAGCTTTTTATCCCAGAGACATCTAAACAATTGTAATGTCCACCACACCCCAGGAAAGTAAGGCCTGAGGATGCAGCTTACATCTTCTGAGAGCAGTAAGTCAAAGGAAGGCTTTCTATTCCATTTCCAGGATCACCCAGCTTGTCTTCCTTCACAACAGCAGTTAACTGGCTAAGGACCAAGGAATAAGGACTTGGAGAGAATGTTCTGGCAACTATGCAACCTGACACAGCTTGGCCTGTAACACTATAGATGTTTAAAGGATTTGGGGTAACTTACCTCTCCTAAGAATCCATAGTGCTGTTTTCCACAATCAGGAGGATTTTTGGCTTAGCTTAAAAGTAAATAAAACACAGTTAGTGGCATTGGATTCTCTACTACTTGCCCGTGTGTGTGTGTGTGTGTGTGTGTGTGTGTGTGTGTGTTGTGGTTTGCATTTAGGTATGTGTTTATGGTTTATGAGATTCATTATTCATTTGAAACTATTTAATAAGCACTCATGGACTGCTCAGCACTGTGCTAAATGTATAAGAAGCGAAGAGAAGTATCACATGCATTGTCTTCAAACAACTTGCATTTTCACAGTCAATACAGATACATTAGAAGTAACAATGCACTAATATCAGTACTGAGGACATATAGGATTCAAAGAAGAAAAGTTTCTAACATTCCAAAGCCTTGGAGCACAGGCTTTGGGATGTGTGGTGTGATGCCAGGGATATTATAATGAAAATGGGACCATGGAGGGTTGGGCTGGGAGAGACAAGGGGGATCCTAAACAGCCAAAGGCTAAAAGTCAGTTACAGGACCATGAAGGAAATCTGGCAAACACTGGATAACTGTTAGCTGGCTTGGCACTAACAACATCACGAAAGGATTTTGTTGTTGTACTGGAAGTGTCCCAAAGCCTTCACCTCCAGTGCTGTGCAGAGGACTGAAGTATGTTCTGAGATTCTCTTTGCCAAGCGATTTAGGGGCCCACTTAGCATTGACTGAAGGGTGCTACCCAGTGCACTAATGACCACTGCCTCAGGATTCACTGAGTCTGTGAGGAAAGCTAAAAGTAGATGATAGATGGGAAGTCAGGGGGTAAATATCTGGGCTTTCTTGCTCTCCGTTTGAGATATCAGATGTGTGTGCTTTTTTATTTTAATAGGATTCATTTAATATTTATTTATGAGTGTGTGTGTGTGTGTGTACGTGTGTGTGTGTGTGTGTGTGTGTGTGTGTGTGTGTGTTATGTTGGCTCCTGAGTGCCACAATGTGCCTATAAAACATCAGCAGACAGCTTTTGGGAGTTTGAACCTCTCTTTCCACCTTGCATTCTGGGGTTCAAACTCAGGCCACCTTTTACCACTGAATCATCTCACAACCCCTCATGGGTGTTTTGTGCCATAATTCAGAGTTCTCAGTAAGACTGATCTCTAAGCTTGAAGAAGTAACTGGTTTGATCCTGTGTATTCATTATCTTCCTTCCCCTCCTGGACTCATTTTCCTATCCCTGTTCTGTTTTCCAGGGTGACCTCTCAGATAAATTATTATTGTTAATGTTTTTAGTGTTCAAATATAATTTATTTGGGTATACTTTTTAGATTTGACTTTTGGATTGAAGAAAAATTTTTTTCATCCAATATATTCTGATCATGTCTTCCTCCTTCAACTTCTCCCAGGTCCCACTCACCTAACTCTACAGGTTTTTCTTTCTCTCTCTTTAGAAAACAATCAGATGAACAAAGCAAATCACAAGAATTTAAAAAAAAATACATATATGGCTATGAAAGCGCAAAATCAGAAACTCTAATTATACAAGCCAAAGGTCAGTAAGACCAAGGGGGGAAAAAGAGGCCAAACAAACCTATATGAGACAAAAAGTCTTCAAGTCTTCAACGATACCATTGAGTTCATTTTGTGTTGGCATCTACTGCTGGGCCTGATGTTAAGTGAGGTTAATATAACCAGTGGGGCTGCATTGGAGAATGCTAATTATTCCTTTGCAGTTATCTGTCAGTTGCAGATAGCTTCTTGGCTACGGATGAGAGCTCTGTCCACTCCCACCTCTCAGCAAAGGGCCCCTGGAGTGATATTTTACAGCTTACCGGCCCCCATTTCAAATACACTAATTTAACTCAAAGTCTTGTTTCAAAGTCCTCCACTCCACCCTCTGGGGATACCAAGCCAAGATACAGCCCAGAAGTTGACAGACGAAACAATATCTTTGAAAAAAACCAAGTATAATGAAGGCCCTGAAAGAACTTAAAAGTCATAGGGGTATGTGAGCTGAGCTTGAAACAGTCTACTTTTCAGGTTCTGAGTAGGGGAGAGCAAGCAAAGCCTCAACAGCAAGTTGGTGGTTGATGCAAAGGGGAAGGCTGATTGTGCTCCTTGCTATTCAGAGAATTAAAAAAATCAGCCAGCAATGGCTTAGGAAGAAGAATTAAGTGGTATAGTGCATGACAGATGGATTGGTGACACATTTAACACAACATTTTTTTATATCTTGTTTGGGATTATTTAATGTAGGGAAACACTAGTGGATGAAAAAACAGATTTTTCTAACAATATTATTTATTTATTTATTTATTAGGCATGCTGCAGTATGGGCTCAAACTTGTAATTCTCCTGAATCAGTTGCCTAAACTTACAGCCTAAATAAATATGCCTATGAGAGGTATAGTTAAATCTTAGGAGAACCTACTTTGAAGCTAGTAGCATGTCTATAAACAGAATATTTACTAAAAAATTCCACTAGGCCATAAAAACTTGATTACAAAATAAAGAGGCAGGGTTCCATATTTCTAAGCACCATACAAAAGGAGCTTAAAGAAGAGAGAAAAATGTTCAGACAGGGAGACGTAGAAACAGAGATGGTGCTAAGTGTGGAATGTAAGAGTATATATGCCTTCCACACCAACATGAAAAAGTCTGAGGGCCGCAAAGGTGTGCAACCATGGTTTGCATGTTGACAAGGCAATTAGATCACATCATGGTGCAAAGATCTCGCCTAACTTAAAATGCATATTTCCTCCCACATCCTGGATGTCTGCTTTCCTTGGCTTGCCAATAAGGCCAGATGAGTCAGTTTGTGCTTGGGTGAAGACAGTCAGGCCCAGGAAATGAACAAATGGAGCTATTGGTACAATCAAAGCAATTCACAGTCTGTTTTGAAGTCTTCATGGGACACTGTCTAGGCTTCTTAGGAACTGGTGGTAATAGATCATTATGGTCTACTCCATCCTCTCAGGAGACAAAGGAGAGAAGGTAGGCAAAGAAAGAACTTAGGAGGACAGGGGAGAAAAGGGGAACAGGGGAAGACAACGAGCCATAGGAGAAAGCTATACTCATGAAACTCTGCATTCAATAAATCCTGCCTCAGCCTTTTCTGTCTTTATAAATTACTTTGTGGGTTTCCCCCCCACTGACCACTTTAATTCAACAAACATGTTTCTAAATAAAAACAACAACAGAAAACCTTTTTTAAATATATTTTATTTTGTCTGCTCTGACATTCAAAAAGCTGAGGAACAATCTAGTAGTCCTGGCCCTCAGATTTTATGACACATATTTTCTCTTTATTTACCTCATTTTCAAAAACAATTGATTGATCCCTCACATGGCTGCTTTTCCTTTGCCCTGATTAAGAATGACTTTAAAAACTGCAGGTCATGGTCAGAAAAATGAAAAACTAGTCAAAGCCAGAAGCTTCTCTTTGGTAATATTTCCTTGCACCAGGAAACCAAACAGAATGCTCGCATTTTTCTCTGCAAATTGCACCCTGCAGAGTCGCTACATTGTGAATGAGATGGTGGTGGATTTCACAGCTCAGTGTTATGAGGATCAGGTCAGACAGCCGGCATTCCACTGTTGGAAGCTCCCAGTGCACTGTCACCCCCGTAGACCCTTGCAGGTTGACATGGGGCCTCCTGCAGTTTCTCTGGCTGTATTTATCAGTTCCCCTTTCTCACGGTGACCTTACTGCACTTCACACCAGAAAATAACTCAGATAATTAGACAGCCAAGCAATTAGACTTTGGCAGTTATAATGAAAGAGATTTCCAGTACCCCTAGGAAACATTATGCCTGAAAACAAGGTAGAGGCCACCAGGAAGATGACCTATATGTGGCTTTCTGGTGGTTTTATTCTATTAACTGAATAATTATTCTCTAGCCTTCCACCTTTGGTCCCTCCCCCAATGAGAATGATAGGAATCAAGGAAAGCAGAACTGCAGGAGTTACCCTTGTGTGGCTGTTGTCCAGTGTAACGGCAGGGGGGGGGGGCTTCCTCAAAAGAGAAGAACTTGGCCAGGGATTTGACAGAGATGGCAGAGAGGTCACTGAACTCCTTACCAAAAACTTTGACTGTAGTGGAGGTCTTCCAGACTTCAAGAGGATTGACTACCAAGTGGCAAGAGAATGTCTTGCCATCATCTTGGATTTGGACTGGAGAGAGGTGGAGTCCAGAGTCTGCACGCAGCTTGACTCTGACTTTAAGTGATGTAGAATTGCTGATGTGGTCATTATGGATGAAGAGATCTTCCTGGACTCCATCTTTCTCCTGGAGAGAGAAACAGTATTCAGTTACATAACACGGGATGAGTGCACGTTTTAAACTATGTGCATGTGTGTCTATGTGTAGGTGTGCATGAGTGCAGGTGCTTGTGGAAGCCAGAAGAGGGCATGGAATCCACTGGAACTAGAGCTGGTGTGGGATGCCTGACATGGGTAGTGGGAGCCAGACTCAGTTCCTCTGGAATAGAAACAGGGACTTTTACCACCGAGCCACCTCTTGAACCTGACAAGTGCTATTTAAACATTAATAAAACAAGAATGATGAAGAATTAAAATGGGGAAAGTTCAGTATAGTACTAGAAAAAATACTGTTATTTAATAAAATTTAATAAAAATTACTCTTATTTTCTACTAAAACAAATAGAAACATGTTCTGAACAGACCTAGCCATTCACAGCCTTGCTTTGGGGGCAGGAGAGATGGTATTAGCAGATCCCAAGGCTCCTTTAGGAAGTTCAGACAATCCATTTTTAAGATGTGCTGGGGACACTGTGGGGATTTTGATGGTTAGTTTTTTTCCATCAACTTTATTATTCTACATATCTCATCTTCCCAGAATTCCCTAAGAAAAAATCTGAGTTAGCCCCTTTCAGAGTCAGGAGTAGGATGAAGTAGACAGGATAGAGCATAGAATTTAGAGAAGACACATTTCAGAGTATGGCACACAAAGGGAAGGAATCTTTAAGGAAGTGGACTTCTCAAATTCTGTCTCCTAGGTTCTTCTTGTTGCAGTTCTTTATTGCACTCGTGGTTCTGGCCCCTGCTTCTTTGCTTCTGTGGCTGTATTAGCCTCAGAGAAAACTCATGAATGCTGGACTTAAAATGTTAATGTGACTGTAGTTCACTGGCATTTGCTGGGAGATCTCGACTCCTCTATTTCATGTCCTGTCTTGGGGCTGATGAAGAAAAGTCCCTATTATTCCCCCCACCCCATCCTGTCCAGGTTTTCCAAGGCACATCTTGTGGTCACAATGATTGTCAGGTCAGTGTGATGCTGATTAGCTTCCCAGTTTGACAGGACCCTTGAGGAGCATGAGGCAGTGTGCTGGTTAAATACCCTCTGTGTTAGTCCAACTCAGTCTTCTCAATTAGCTGCTTGGCAACTGTCCATGGCACAAGTTTCCCCTCTAGAGAGTCACGTTCAATCTGTCTGAGGCCGGGCCTAACCTGGAACAATTTGCAAGTTCCTCAGGGGAGCCAAGGCTGAGAATGGCTGGTCTAACCATAACCTTTCCAGAGAAATGATTATACACAGGGGAAATGGCAGGAACTAAAGCACAGAAGGGTGGAGAGGAATGAATTTGGTAGGGGGAACCACTTAAAATAATGGAAAGAACTATCTGTGACTTGGAATCTCTAGTTTAAAAAGTTAGATTTGGGGTAGAAGTAGAATCTAGGTCAGTGAGTGAATTTGGTGCAGGAAGACTTATTAAAGTAATTATATAGAAATTTCCAGATAATACTAAAGAGCAGGTCTTATGTAAACTGCACTTCTTTGGCTGAATCTGCCTGAGATCCTTAACCGTGTCCCAAACAGATGAAACTTTAGAGGGTTTTTTTTTTTTTTGCAAAGAGTCCTACGCATTACTCTGAAACAAGGAATTCACCTCTACAGCTTCATGAACTTGACCTTTAACTTTCCTTCTGAAGAAGAGCAAAGAGAGGATCTAGTCCCAAGACAGGAGAGTCCAAGCACCAGCAGAATGAAGAGGAAGGCATTTCCCTCAGCATCACAGATCTGAAGGCAATAGTTAAGGAAGCTGGCTCCCTCTGCAGGACCTACTGCACAAGATTTTTTTAAGCATCTTGTATATGGGCTGGTTTTATAAAGATTTTGTAGTTCAAAATGTTCTTGGAGAGTTTTTAATGGGTGTAGCTTCTAACATTACAAGGAGACTCCCAGAAAACTCTCTGATCATTTGGCTCTTACAGCCTTACAGCCCATTCTTCTGCAATGTTCCCTGAGGCTTAAGTGTCACAGAGTAGATGTATCCATTGGAACAGGGCTCCACAACTCTGCATTTTGATTGGTTGTTGTTTTATATATTGGTTTCTGTTTTGAGAGAAGTTCTTTCATGAGAGGTGAGGACTACACTTATTTCTAGTTATAAAGACTGCCCACATGAGCTGAAGAAAGATAACACTAAGAAGTATAATAAAGGGGACAGGGGAAAGAGCATGGCACCACAACCCTACTCAAAGAACTATGGGAAACAAAGGAATCGACAGTGAGAAAATGGTCTTCTCCAGGAACGAGCATAGCAGTTGGTTATCTAATATCAAATAGTCAGCCCTGAAAACATGCATATATGTATGTAACAACAATTGATGAAAAAAAGAGGCCATGGATTGCAAAATGATCAGGGAGGAGTATGTGAGAGGGTTTGGAGGGAGGAAAAAGGAAAAGTTACATGCTTATAATCTCAAAAATAAAAGAAAAATGTTCTTGGCCTGTCAACTGTTGATTATGAATCAGAAAGAAGCTCATGGGGCCCTATCGTTCCCTGCTGACTCCTGATGGATTCTGATGGAAGGGCATTAGCTGTCTCAAATTGTGTACCCACCGATAAGTCAACCACACTCCGGTAGAGAATTCTAAACCCATGGTCACACAGATGGCACTGGTTAAATGTAGTGGGTCACAAACTAAACCAGAGAGGTGAATGTGGGATAGGATCTCATGGAAGCAGAGGGCTGACAGTGGTGGGAGGGAGCCGGGAAGGGTCAATTGGGTGAGGGTATTATATTGCATCATATATGTGCATGAAATTGTCAAAGAACAAATTTAGTAAGTTATTTAAAAGTGGTTTTCTATTTGGGATAGTTCCATCTGTCATGTTGTTAAAGAGGGTAGATTCAGGATGGAGCCTGGTACAAACTACTTTTGCTTTTATTATATAGCAGGACATGGCTTACTGTAATACTTTTATTGATAAAGATAGCATCCACATATACCATTGTATACAATAGTTGTTTTGCTTTGCTTTCCTTTGGCTTTTGGCAGTTGCAGAGGTAGAGGGTAGTTTTGGTTTTTAAAGATGGAATTCAGCTACAACGTGTCCTGAAGCCTACAACATGAGATTCTGAAGGGCTTTAGATTCCCCATGGCAAGAACCTACATGTGAGTGGCTGTCATCACAGAGCAAAATGGGGAGGAGCTAGTTTAGATGAGTTAGCCAATACTTACAGTGAAGAGAAGGGGAATTCTATAGTTATGCTCTGACTGCAACCTGCAACTGAAGTGCTATGTTCTCATTATTAAAGATTTTTTAAAACTATTACTTCTATTTTTGAGATAATAATAATTATGCCATTTCCCCTCCCTTTTCCTTCCTCCAAGCTCTCCCAAATACTTCTCATTTTTGTTTTCCACATTCATGACTTCTATTTTATTGTTGTCACATACATATACATACACATACATATATGTTTCTAAATACATATATACAATCTGCTCAATCTACGTAATGTTACTTGTATGTATATTTTCAGGCTGACCATTTGGGTAATAAATAACCAGTTGTCTAATAGATAACCATTTGGTAATAGATAACAGATTGTCTTTCATCTGTTTAGTGAACAGTAGGTTCTAGGCACTGTAAAGCTCGCTCAAGCTTATCTTACACTCTTTACCCAGTTTGAAATAAATTAAGGTTAACTTACCCATGGGAACACAGAATAAGAAGGAACTCAAACCAAAGCATTTTAAAGCAAGGATGCTCAGAACCAAGGAAAATCATGCCTCAGGACTACACAGAGAAAAAAAAAATCTGACCCACTACATAACTAAATAAAATAAAACTTAGAGGTGTATCTGGAATGAGAAATGTAGGATAAATTCTGGAAAGCCAGAAATCTTTATAAGGTTGTAGGCTGCAGGAATCAGGGCAGGATGCTGGTTGAAAAGGGCCTTATGCTAAAACAACCCATTTGTGTAGACCAGCATCATAGGATATATTTCAGCTCATCTCTTATTTGGTATAAATAACCTCTATTGACCAGCTCTGCAGAAAGCATGGCAAGGAACCACACACACAGTGCCTTTATTTCTACTTTTATTTCTTTCTGTTCTGCAGAGAAAACTATTATTTACCTTTGAAAATGTTAATAAATTTTCAAAACCTCTATGGGTTTATATCTTATGTAAAATGGGCCCTTTTAACTCTTTTCAATCAATCAATTAATTAATTAATTAATTTTACATCCCAACTGAAGCCTCCCCTCCCTCCTCTCTTCCCACTCCCTCCCCCCATCTTCTTCTCCTGCTCCCCCCCCCTCAATCCACCCCTCTTCCATATTCACTCAGAAAGTGGCAGGACTCCCAGGGTTATCAGCAAAGCATGGCACAAGCTGCTGGAAGACCAACACCTCCCCCTGTATGTAGACTGGGCAAGGCAATCCAGTATGAAGAACAGATTCCCAAGAGCTAGTCAAATCTCCAGGGACAGGCCTGCTCCTGTGGCCAGGAGTCCCATAAATAAATCAACTACACAACTGTCACATATATGCAGAGGCCTCAGGCTTCCTGGTTGTTGGTTCAGACTCTCTGAATTCTCATGGGTCAGGCTAGCTGAGCTCAGCCCAGTGTTTGGTTGTGGGTCTCTGAATCTGCCTTCATCGGTCACTGGATGAAGGCTCTTTTATGACAACAGGGATTGTCACCAATCTCATCTTGGGGGATGGCTAGTTGAGGCTAGGCATCTACTGCTGCCAAGAGTCTTAGTTGGGGCCTTTGTGTTTTAATGTGCAGCATATATTTAACTAGCTACGTAGTCCAGACACTTAGTAGGTGGTCAGTAATACAAGTTCACTCCTCCCCAGTTCTACCCACAAATCTTCTGTGTTTTATGAACATTTAGTACATACCCAGATAAGTAGAAAATTTGGAGAATGATTGCGGGGGCTTAAATGGTTTTGTTCTCCTACCTCCAAAACTTACTTGTAATACCACAATGTTGAAAGGACTTGTGGCAATTACAACATAGA